GAGGAAGACAACCTACGCATAGGTGAACAGGTATGTAGAAAAGTAAAGGCATTTAAATACCTCGGGTCCTATCTGGACGATGTTGGAACGTCCGAAGTGGATGTCCGAAACAAGGCAGAGATGGCAAGAAAAGCTACTAGAATGCTGCATCCTGTTCTCTGGAACGACACTATTTCAAACGCGAACAAAACTACGGATGTGAGGCATGGTCGATGAATGCTGGCTTGTATGCCAAAATTCGGACTGTAGAAATGGATTTCTGGAGAAGGTGTCTTCAGTTAACGAGGCTGGACAGAGTACGAAATGAAGTGGTGAGACAGAGAATAGGTGTAGAGGAGACCGTCTCTGAGAGGATCGGGAAACAGTGATTGAGGTGGTATGGGCACTGCAGGAGAATGTCAGAAGAGCATTGGCCTAACAGAGTCCTGGACTGGCAGCCACCCGGAAAGCGTAGGCGAGGACGACCGAGAACCACGTGGAAGGAAGGAGTCCGAAAAGAGATGGCCGGCCGAGGTCTACAGGAGGGTGACTGGGAGGATAGAGATGTGTGGAGCTCTGCTCTGACCTGAAGAGGTATCCCATGTTGGAACACCGGAAATAAGTAAGTAAGTAGTGTACATAAGATGTTTTCGATATCCTCTACATCGGGTGGAATGGTTTCCAAATCTTCATCATTAATACCCACTGGTAATTTATGGTAATTTACATGGTCTTCCAGACCGTCCTCTGTTTCTCTATGATTCAGTAAGCTTTTGAAATATTGCTGCCAAAAATATTGAATTCAAATTTATTAGAAAGTATCATATAATAAGATGTAAGAAGTTGGTGACCCCATCCAATGTTTGGATCCCTACATTCCTTTCAGATAGCTCAAAGACCTTCTCGTTTAGGCGACCAGTCAACATTTGGTACTTTTCCACAGTAGGAGAACCTCTAATGCTCATCCAGAGGAAGGATGACATAAGGGATATTTGTATATGCTAGAAGAAAGGCAAATAAACCAGAAAAAAACCTAATGTCGACATTGGGGATCTCAAAATTATGACAGAGAATCACACAAGTGGTCAACATCCCCCCCCCCTTCCCAACAAATACTTGAGTCGTTCGAATGGCATCCATACCCGGTCAAAAAAATAAATTTGTTAGAGCTCTGACAATCTTGTTAAACACAGAAGAAAACTTTAATTTCAAAATTATTGCTTAAATTAATCATATCTTGTTTGTAGTAAAAGAGAGATACAAAATTGAACGGTAATCTCCACAAATTATAAACTTTTGTTAGCTCAAACTGGAGCAGATTGGCACTTCGATAGGAAAGCCAGTCTTGACACCAGGAGAGATCGTATAATCTATGTTTAATATAATTTTGTTTGGTAGTGTATATAATTTATGTCATACTATAAACTCTATTCCTATAATGAATTTTAAAATCCTGTTTGACATAAATATTAATTTTATTTGCTACATAATAGTTAATAACATAAAATTTAACTAGTTACTAACTGTTTTATTTAAGTATAGACCCCAAAGGAATATTAAAAGTGAAGTAAGAGAACAGATTTCAGATAATAATCCTATTGAAAAATATTAAAACTATAAATAAAATAGAAAGGTAAATGAAGATTAGATAATAAAAAAGAACTAAATGATTATTTTAAAAACCGTGTATTCCTTTTATTACTCCATGGTTCAAACTATAAAAATATAATTAATTTATTAATGGAGCTATTACTTACATATGTTTAAAGCAAAATAAAATCCCAACTATTATCTGAAACCTGAATTAAGTAAAATAAAAAAGTATATATTAAAAAAATATCAATGACAAAAATTAAAACAAGAATAATAGTAGCCACTAAAGAAATTATGTAATAGGAAACTAAATATCATAATTAATAATATTGTGATAAATATTTAATATGTTTTAGATAATTACCAAAAACTGTAAAATAAAATCATTAATTGCTAAAATCATCAATAACACAACAGGAATCGATAATAGGAAAATATTTTTAAATACATTAAGATGAAGAATTTTTTTCTTCAACATAATTATATTCGTAACTATAATACAAATTATTTTTACTTATTTTGAGAATAAAAATCAATGTATCTAAAAAAAATAATAATAGTAAAATACATTAGGAAATCATTTATTTAAGTTTTTAATAAAAATTAAATAATAATCTTAACTTCATACAGCTGGCGGAGGTTCAAGATAATTCTTCATCTCCTCGTCGTATTACATCCCGCACATGCAGGAGCCATGACAATCCCACATGTGAGATGGGATGATCCTTAAAAAAATGAGGATATATTACACCCCGCACATATAGGAGTCATGACAAACCACCATGTGAAACGGGGATACCATTTCTTGAGTTAGATTAAAAGCTGAGATGAACTTCAAAACATAAGCTGACTAAACTTAGGTCTAGATAAAAAATGAAATACAAATACAAACATTCTATTCAGGAAAGTCAGAATAGATATAATTTATAGTGTTTTAGATTATACTTATAACAAAAGACATGATCAATTTTGAATGATTAGTTTATACCATGTTTTTAACAGAAGGAATAGACAGGAAGTAAGAAGCTTTTCAATATAATTTTCGGAAGTTAAATTTCCTCCAATTTTAACCAAAAGTTAAAGAAAAAGAAAATTAAACAGAAAATTGCAGCAGAAAATTTGAAAAAACATCATGCATTCATCAGATATCAATGAACCACTAAATTAAATGAAATATTCTTTTGATAAACATATTTTAAGGAATTTTGATACAGATGCACAATTAAAAGTGAATTAGTATCCATATTCCAATATAATTTTTTTAAAGATGTATTTTTGAAAATTAACAGCAGAACCTACAATCATAATTATTTTAAGAGATTAGATGGTAAACCAATCACAAAAAACAATAAAATATTTAATAATTTCACCAGCAAAGAAAATACTGTAAACGTAATTTATACTAACAAAAATAAAACATTATTTATCATATTAAATAATTTCAAATTAGTTTTCACTATATATATATATAAAACATTTAATTTCTGTAAAATGGCTATTCTTTTGTTGAACAGATGGCTTTCAGAAATAATGCATTGATTATAACATGGTTATAATATAGTTGAAAAGAGAAGCTAGATTAAAAAAAAAAATTAATGATGCTCAGAGAGGTGGCCAAAATTAAATAATAATAAACAAAACAATTTAAAAAGGATGAATGTACATAAAAAGTAAAATAAAATTTAAAACTTGGAAGAATAATATAAAAAATTAAATTAAATTAAGGGCTTGTATCTGATAAAAGTTATAGTCAAAATTAAATAAATTTAATGCAACTAATTACAGTTTAAAAGAAAACAAAATGAGATATAGAAGTAAAAGTAAGGAACGGGAGATGAATAAATATAGATTAAAAGAGAAATTAAATACAGGGTGTCTACAAGTATTAATCAAGACAGATTTCCCGACTTTTTATTAAAAGGTAAAAAAAAAAGTTTTTTCACAATACTCAAAAGTATTTGTTAATAGATTAATTAACACAGAAACATGTGAAGACAGTAGAACAACCAACAGAGGTTTATATTCTGGATGTGTAAATAGCTATTGGTTTAGAGAAAACCACATGAAAATGGAGTGGTGTATACCAGAATAAATTATAAAATCCTTGGATACACAGATAATATAGCTGTCCTTAGAAGCAATAAAGAGGATACTCAGAGATTCGCTTAGACTCAATGAGAAAATGAAGATTTTGAGAGAAAAATCCACAGCACGATAACCAGAGCAATCTGGGATCAGAATATTAATGCATGGAGCAGAAGAACAAATAAATAACTGCTTACAGAATCTGTTCCATCATTATCTGATTATATGAAGACAAGGAGTATAAGATGGGCAGGGCATATAGCTCGCAACAATCCATTAGGAAGCCTCTACACAACGAAGAATACCAGAATAATGAACGGTTTTCCCTGTTTGTAGACACCCTAAAAACAATGCAGTATAAAGATAAACTATAAAATAATAAATGCAAAAAAATGCAATAAAAAGAAAAATATAAAGAGGAAAGTAAATAATAATACCAAAAAACTGATAAGAGAAAATGAGTGTGCCAAGCAAAGTTGATGAAAAAAAATAACATGAAAAACAGGAGAGGATAGAAAAGTAATTTGTCAGAGTGGTAGATGGGGAGCCAAGGAAAAAATGGTCAAGAAATTTCAACTAAGAGACTTAAACGAAATGAACACATTATTAAATAAGAAATTTAAATTCAATCTATATTACACAATTTGAATTTAAATACATAACCACAATATTTAACAGTGGAATATGAATTGTTATATATAGTTTAGCTCAGATATGAATATAATTAGGGCTTTAAGAAGCTATGTTTCTCTAAAAATTAAAACAAAATTACCTCATTTAACATTATCTAATAAGATAAAAATATCAGATATGAGTTCAAATGTAATTTTTAACACAACAATAACCCAAATATTGAATAAGATAAAATTTAATTTAATAATTTTGTTACAAAATAAATCTATTTAAAAAAATCTGTTACTGTAAGAGTAATTTAGTTGCAATAACTATTCATAAATTAACCATAATGATTTAGTTTGTCTGAGATAGATAATGTTAACCAATATAAACAGCTTAAAGTAAAAATATTTACAATTATATTACAGTACATATATATTAAAACTTAAGGAATTATTTTTAATCCAAAATAAAAAGGTTTAATGAGTACTGAATTATCATAGAACAGATATGAAAATTCAGTAGAAGTACACATATGATTTAGTATAAATAATGTACATGACCTTAAGAGTAAAATATTATTATAAGAAATTGTATAAGTAGCATTGCAATAATAGTTATCATTCAGAATTATTTTAAGCAGTAAAATAGGATAAGATATTCTGAAACTTTAAAAACATGAAAAACAATATGTTAATAAAAAATATATATATTGAGATTTATCTGACCTTCTTCCAGCATAGCTTCAATTTCATTGTCGCTTATGTCAAATTCTACTTCTGAATGATATTCTACGTTTTCATCAACATCTGACCCTTCACATTCATCAAGAACTTGGAATACTCTTAGATCTTCATTGCTCTAAAATTTTAAAGAAATAAGACATAAGGACATAATTTTTCATTCATAACCTTAAACGTAACGAGTATTTCTTTTCATCATATAAATGGTTCAAAATTAATAATTAGGACAGTTGGTTCGGAACATTTTAAATCTACTTTAGTATCACTGGATGTGATTCTAGGCAAGGTAAATTTCATTAATCATTGACCAAATATTATCGTTGACAAGAGAGCTTACATACTGATACAAGTTGTCTTCACTTTTTAAATGTTTTATTTTAATATATTATCTTATTCTTTAATTAATATATAAACGTATTATTTTATTCATTATGTGTGAGTAACAATCAATACCAAGACTCATTTTGAAGCTTCATGAATCCATGATAAAGTAGTAAAACATAACATAACACACTTAAGTTCAACCATACCTAGGTAGCAGCCCCCTATAGAGAAACAAGTCACGGAATGAAATCATTACATTTGACTTGGGGTTTTTTGTTTTAATTAATAAAACAAAATAAAAAGTAGCTTAATTTGTGATTATTAATTAAACCTTTGACGTACAAATAATTAACACTTTTCTTTTCTCATCAAGTTGCAAAAAAAAAGGAACACATTTTCTTAGTTCCCTAACCTAAAAACCACTTTTGAAAGTGATTTCTCCCGAAGAAAATATTAAGGCCACCTTAATAAATACGTTCACTCAATTGTGGGATCTAGTATATTAAAAGAACATAAACTTAAGTATGACATTTGAGAGAAATCAGAATCTGTAGAGCATCATTGATGGAAGAATAATTTTACACTCCATGATAGTATAACTCGATCAATTGAACAAATTGATCAATTTATAAGCTATCTGGTCTGACTTCCTTAAGATGCTAAAGAAATATTATAAAAAATATTGAGTAATGCTTGACAAAAAGCACAAATATATATATACACAAAAATTACAATCTTGTATGCTGGAGTAAAGCGAAAAAGGAAAAAATGCTGAATTGTTATAATTCTGCAGTAATATGACCTCCTCTTTCACTAGAATACAGAGGTTGAAGTGGATAGGTCACTTGCTTAAACTGGATGAAGAAAGGATGACAAGATAAATTTGCCAAGTGGAGTAAGGACAATGGGTTAGATGGAGAGATGTCCTGGAAGATCACAGAAAACTGAGGATAAGTATATCACACACACAAAATCAAACGAGCTGGGACTTGAATTATTTTAGGAATATGTCATGCCTCTAAAAGAAGAACAAGAAACTGGAATTATAGATTTACAATTCAGACAATATACTGTTTAGATACTGAATTTTATATATAGGTTTTTTAAATAATGTATTTACTAACAATTGAGATGCTATTTACTAATACTATATTACTTACATATATGGATTATTATTTCATTAATACTGATTTCAGCATACTCTTATCAAAAAAGTTTGATAACCACCAAGATCACGTACTCAATTATTCGTCCTTACTATTTAAAAAGTCCTTTTTTAGTTCTATTTTTCCTGAAAATATTGGGTTGACCGGTGTTGTGGCCAACATGTAGTTATTTAATTTTATTTGTGACCATATCATAATAATCAGGTGAGTAATTTTTAATTTGTATTATTACATCATTAAATATTTTTTGCTAAAAAATACATCCCAGCGACTTTTTCGGTCACTTCTGACAAAGCCAAGTCACAAAGCAAACAGAAGACAGTATTGCGCTGTGTATTGAACAACCTTCATGAGCTTCTCTCGTCCCGTCACCATTCCTCCTGGAAAATCCAAGGTTTCATCTCCACAGGCTGTGACAGTGGCATCCCACACCTGGGACATTGCTCTCCTCCAAGAGAACCTACGCCAGGCGACCACAGCAACGATAAAAGGGCAAATATGACTGACCGGCTGGAGGTGATTTGTTTTATTTTGATTAAGAACATTCTAAGGTGAGTGGTGCCCCTTCAAAAGACATTTTCTGAACCCCTGTGTTCAGTTTAATAAATGAAAAGAAAAACATTATTTTTCTTAATTTATACACCTCACATTGAGGTTGCACATTCACTTGTACACTACTTCATGCCAACTTCTACAAGTTTTTTTATAGTTCAGTGGCTAGCGTACAGTTCTCACATAGTGAATGATCTCGGTTCAAGACTGGCTTCACCAAATTCCTTTTTTTATTATATACTTTAAACTTATATAAGCTTACGATGGTTTTCTGTAATATTATTTAATTGCAACAATTAATTTATTTTTCTCATTTAACATTTTAAAAATTAATTAATTAGCAAGCCACCAGCTGGATAACATTGTGGATAACGTTGAGCAGATCTGGCTGTTTAAATTTGAATTCCCACTGCCGTCACATCCAATAAATAATGCAGCATTTGGAGTTTTCTTTAAAATATCCCTCTATATTATAACCTGTTTACGTTTACTGGATTATCATTAGTATGAATGTCAACTCTTATTAATCCTCTTCTAAACGATGTTTGTTTACCTCAGTAACATTTCAATACAATACATTTTTAAACTATATTAAATATGCTACAATTAAGACCAGAACAGACTCGGTAAATTTAATAATGTCTTCTACTCAACTGCATCAACATATCCTGACAGTCAGCTCATCACTTTCACTCACGCCTTCGGTGGCTGTGATTTCATCTCGTACTTCTTCGGAAACTCAAATTGCTTCAAATACTACTGAAACATATAGATTTTAAAGAGAAAGCTGCAGTGTTTTTAATCCAGCTATTACACCTACCCAAATAGTTGAAGCCTGGTATGAAAATTATTGAATTGTACGGTGAAGAAAGCTCGAGTCAAACTCTCAATGACCTGCGCTACCAGCTCTTCTCAAAGGATGCAGCCAAGACTAGTTTCAAACTGGCCAGACTTTTTCCCAAGCAAGATGCTGCAAAGAATATAATAGATTATGCACTTGGGCATATCTCAATAAGGTCTCTTTAAATGACGAGAAGACGAAAAGCCATCATGATCGGATCTCCCTCACTCCTCAAATCCATTATAGTATCTCCCAATCTTCTCCTGAAAAACTCACCCATCTCTTTCCACCGTTAAAAATCTTGGTGTAATCTTTGATCAAACCCTTTCATAGAAACCAAACATCTCCCAAATTTCCCGTCGCACTATTTCCACTCTAAAACAGTTCAATCGTCTATGCTATTTCTTTCCATTCAGAACCCATCAACTCCTTGTTTCCTCTCTTGTTTTCCCCTACTTCGACTATGGCTGTGTGGCGTATGGTGGCCTCTCGGGAGAACTCGAAGCCAAACTTAAAGGTCTAATGAATTGCTTAATACGCTTTGTTTTCGGGATCTCAAGAGATACGCATATTATCCAGTATTACACCGAGTTGAAGTGGCTTTCAGAGCCACAGAGATCTTCTTAGATCTCAGCGACCCTCCTATATTCTACAGAGTCTACAATTTAAATCTTCCACTAAATCCTATCCCACCAGATCCCGCATGTTCGACCTCTATCCTCCTCCTCACCGAAATGCTGCGTTTGAAAAATCCTTTGTAATTCAAGCCATCTCTCTCTGGAATTCTATCCCTCCCAATATTCGACACTCAAAGTCAGTCTCCTCTTTCAAATCTCTCCTCTTTATGCACCTATTCCATTCCCAATCCGCTTGATTATGAAATGCATGTATGAGTCTAAGTTGTAAGATTCTCTAAGCACCCCCAGATACTATTAATTCATTTTATTTTATTTTATATTTTTATATATATATTTTTTATTTCTCTTTATTACCTGTATTTTACTAACTATTATGTAAATATTTAATTTAAGTTATGGAGACCCTAATAAGTTTATTTATATCCTGCACTTATAATTAGTTCTAAAAGGACACTAGTCTTAGAATAATAAAGGTATTTTCATTTCATTTCAAAGATACATTCGTTTCGCACATACTACCAAGTGCAACAATGGCTGGGTTATAAAAAGAATCCGTTTGAATGGAGATGGATTGCTATGGCCCGAGATTTATCCCCAAAGATGGTGTCAAGGGAAGTGGCACCCTCAAATCTGCTGAACATGATTTCTTACGATTGCAAGAAGGAATGTAGAAATGCTAACAGCTACAGGAAAACTGCGAAAACCTGGCTGAAATTACGGTAGACGTTGATGTCAACACCCATAATTTGGAAAACTCAACAACAAGAATGATGATACGGATAAGTTACTCAACTATTCTGAGAGCCAATTCGCCGAAGATTTATTGAAGAAGTCGAGGAACAATACCAGGTATACATTCACTCATATTACTATGACTTCTAGTAATTAATACTTACCAACATGTGTGAGGAGGGGATGGCCGAGCCCCATAGTGCCCGGATCTGAACGTTGTGGATTCGATTCCTACCTGGGTCAGTTAATTTTCAATTTTCAGCAGTTCCAAGAAACGAATCTTGACTTTTCCCCTCGGGTAAGTATGCGGCAGGCAACCTCAAGGTAGTCTTAAGAGGTTGGCAAAAAGGACCATGTGTTCCAATTGCGTCTAGTTTCCCTTGTTTTGTGGACTAGTTCCCCCACCAGTAAAAGTACCAGCCTGTGTGTTGCATATAGGGCTTCTTCACATGGTTTAACCTTGGGATATTTAACAAATAAATATTAACATTCCATTTCATGATGTCCAGGAATGTGACACTGAAGGAGGCGGATTGGTGGATTTGTTTGGCTCTGGTAATTTGAATCAGAAGAAATACCTTTAGTTCACATTCCATTTACTCTTTGTATGTACTTGATGCAAATGTTTGTTAAATAAATTTTGCATTTCAATTTCAGTCATCTGGTTCTGAACAGTGATCTCTCCCTCTCCCACCAAACCGTTCCCCCTCCCTCATCCCTCCTTCAAAATATTAAAATGAATAAATTTTAACTTCACTGACTCATATCAGACAGGTTATTGATGATACCAATACAGCACCTATCATCTTCACCCCAGTTCACAAAGTGAACTTTTGAGTTCTTTGGTACCAGACTTAAAACAGAACTGAATACAAAAGGTAACAAATCCTTAAAGCTATAGAAAAATAAGAAATAGGTCCTTAGGGGAGCAAATAGATAGTGCAATGGGAGGTCTAGAGAGGAAGATGAGAGCGGATGTCTCCCTTACTCTTTGCGGAATGATCATGTTGTAGTGCCTACCCACTGCATGCAGTTTTCCAGAACTTATCCCAACCAACGCCTACTGTCATCCCCATGTTGGTGCCTCCAGGGAGTTCGATTTGACTCACAGACAACAGAGGCGGGATCCATTGCTTCTATTCATGTGATAGTTGTGATGGTCCTATTAGAAACCCAAGCTACATGGAGGGCGCTTGAACTAGGGCTGAATGGCAGAGAGTATATAAAAATATACTGTCTTTTATTGACCCACTTGGGACACGCACCAGGCGATACCATATTTTAAGTAGCCATTTGAAGGAAGAGGGGGTAGTACCTGCAGACCATTCTCGTGGGAACAAAATGCAAAAAACTTCTATAAACAAAAATAAAACTTTCTCTTATGAGGAAGACTCGCCCTCCTCTGAAACCCTCTTCTAATGTCTCATGGATTGGATGCTACTCTAGACAATGCATCAATGGGTGAAGTCTGTAACTGATGAAGTCAGGAGACTTTAAGTTGGAAATCAACAACCTATCAACAGGCTCCACTGATCACAACCTTCTGCATTCTTTTAAGGGCACAGTGGCTAGTGGCGTTTCTGCTTGTCGGAGTAGGAGTAAACAGTGATCAGAAGGCCTCAACAGAGCGTGTTCAATTAAGGAAAAGTGACTCAGTGGATGAGAAGGCTAAGACAGGGTGACCTCAAGTGTCAGGCGGATGAGCACCCAAATCACTCTTGGCCTGTGGACTAAGGGATGAGCCATATGACACTGCAAGGGAATACAGAAAAAAATTTAAGAAAAGGAAAACAAAAAAAAAAGATGGTTAAACTCTACCAAACATGATAAAATAATGTTGTGATGCTGATATATCAATCTTCAAAATATTTGTCAGGAAAAATATTTAAACCAATTGTTTATCTAAATAGAATGAAAGTAAATAGTAAAATTAATAAAATGAATGTAAATCTTAATCTATGCAATAGCAAATGGGAAAATAAATACACTAAATAATCTTTATACTATTTTTGTTTGTGCTAATTATATTAAAAAATAAAATAAACTTACACCAAAGGAATACGGATTGAAGACCTCATTACTTTTAGTATTTGTGACTTCTTCTTTTGTAAAATCTCTGCTGGTAGATGGTAAATTTTCAGATTCTTGATTATTCAAACATGTTTTTTTTACAATCGCTTTTACATTACAAGAGGGGTTATCTTTAAATTGTTCATTTGATTGTTGATAAGTGCACTTCAAAGTTCCCATTGATTCCATTTTTGATTTAGATACATTAATGAGGTTCTAAAAATAATTAATTACATTTAGATTTGCAGACAGAATTAAATACATTTTATTTACAAGTACATGCACGCACGCAGGCACACACCACCACCACCACCACCACCACCTTTGTCTCAGGAGACTTCAAAACATATATTTCTGTGGTAAACTCTGAGGCAATCCAATGGCTACAAAAAGATATAGACAGTATTAACGCTTTGGCAGCATGCAATGATTATAGTTTGAGTGTTGAGAAGACCATAGCCATTCTCATGGTTATCTTATTAATTCCATTCCTTATTATACCCTAGTCATGAAAAAGGGAGTCTAAGTTGCATCGAATGGGGATAAGTTTCTTTTTCTTGTATGGGATGTGAATGAGACGCAAAATCCAAGTTTTCGACCTCATCCTTCCCTCCCTCCGATCACTTTTGAAAATCCCAAATAGTGCTACTTTTAGCACGTCATTTTCGTAGTTTCCCATTTTGACCATGAAGAAGCACATTTTGACAAAAAACATTCTACACATTTTTAAACTAGATCAAATATGCTACACTTTAAGACCAAAACAGGTTCCTTAAGTTTAATAAGTTTTCAAAGTTTTGGAAATTTGTCGAACTTCAAAATTTTTAAGATTGTAAGACAATTGCATATGATCCAACAAGAAAAATAGCTCTTGTTTGATCATATGCAAATGTCTTTATATCAATAACCCATCTTGTATGATTCAGTGAAGTAAATATTTATTCATTTTAACATTTTGAAGGAGGGGCGAGGGAGGGGGGAGGTTTAATGAGAGAGGGAGATATCACTTTTCACAACTAGATGACTGGAAATTGAAATGCAAAACTTATTTAACAAACATTTGCATCAAGTGCATACAAAAATTGTAAATGAAGTGAATGAAATTTCGAAACTTGAAAATGTTAAGCTAATTTTCATGTGTATATCTTCAATAACCTGCCTTATAAGAGTTAGTGAAGTAAACATTTATTTAATTTATTATTTTGAAGAAGTAAATAAGGAAGATCCAAAATCATTGAAAATATAACAAGGAACTGATGAAAACATTATTTGGTGGAAGAAATACACTGACAGGCAAACAATTTCACCCACTTGATTTTTTCATGTTTTCATCTAAAAATATTTCTGCTTTGGATTGGTATATTGTTTTTAATGAATAAATAGGTAATCTTTTTGTTTGTTTTCAATTAGGAATGTTAATGTAGAGGACAATAACTCTTAATCCTTAATTCAATGAAATGATTCTAGATTCCAATGTTTACTTTCTATGGAATCAAAATGTTTATTCAGTATTATTAGTTCAGTGCCGTTTCTTGCAGCACATTTCTCCGGCTTTTAATTTTTTCAATAGTAAGTTTAAAAATGCCTCTTAGTGCTGAGGATGTTGCACGTGGTGTGGCACTTATTGATGATGGACGTTCCATTTGATATGCAGCTAATGCCACCGGAGTTCCATATGAAACTTTACGAGATGCCGTCAGGCATTTTCGGGAAACTGGTTCGTACAATAGAAGGCCCGGTTCTGGACGGCCTAGGTAACAGAACCACGGGATGACCGGTTTTTGACTTTGAGAATTTTACGAAACTGGCACCTTTGTTCAAGTGATTCAACAGCTCGAAGAAATTCGAGGTGTGCAAATTTCTGAACGTACCGCTCGGAGAAGATTAAATGAGTATGGATTAATGGCTTTTCGTCCAGTAAGAGGACCAGTGTTGACCAGAACTCACAGAGTAACACGGCTGGCTTTTGCTCGAGAACACAGCCATTGGACTATGGACGAATGGAGTTCTGTACTTTTTACAGATGAGTCAAGATTCGCTCTTCAATCTCAAGACGGGCAAGAAAGGGTGTGGAGAAGAAGAAACGAAAGATATGCAGCCTGTAATTTTTCCCAGAGCCAACCTTTCCAACGTGGTTCCTTAATGGTGTGGGCTGGGATTTCAATGGAGTGCCGCACAGAATTGTTGTTGTTCGTGGAGGGTCTTTGACGGCCATTTGCTATGTAGATGAGATTTTGGAACCTCATGTGTTGTCTATCCTCAAAGAAATCGGCGATCATTCTATTGTAATGCACGATAATGCACGCCCACATGTCGCCTGCATAGTGCAGACGTTCCTTCAACAGAACAATATTGAGGTTTTAGCCTGGCCAGCACGTTCTCCAGATTTGAACCCCATTGAGCATTTATGGGATAACCTCGGAAGACGAATAAGAGCGCGTGCAACACTTCCTGATGCACTGCAGGACCTTGAAAGGGCTCTTCGGGAGGAAGGGGCTATCCTCCAGCAAAGGGACATTTCCTGATTGGTGGAAAGTATGCCAAGGCGTCTTCAAGAAGTAGTAAAGGCAAGAGGAGGAAACACGCGCTACTAAACAATGATGTAATTAATTTCTTTTAGAATAATAATGGTTCGTTTTGGAATCTTGGAAACATTTTAATCTAGAATCATTTCATTGAATTAAGGATTAAGGGTTATTATCCTCTATATTAACATTTCTAATTGAAAACAAACAAAAAGATTACCTATTTATTCATTAAAAATAAGAGACCAATCCAAGGCAGAAATATTTTTAGATGAAAACATGAAAAAATCAAGTGGGTGAAATTTTTTGTCTGTCAGTGTATATAATAGACAAATGAAGAGATTGTACTGTAACTATGTCATTAGTAACTATTGCAGTGTGAGAATCGAATTAGGTGGCAGAGGACTATAGGTGCCTACGCTAGTTCCACTGATTAAGTACATTTTCTAAAGAACTGTTTCAAATATGTTAAAAACTATCCAGTGATTTCTTCTTCTTAATCAATTCCTCTTCTACCACAGATCAGTGTAGAGAATCCTGTTTATAGAGCCTGATCCATTTATCTCGTTCTTGCACCAGATCATTCCTTTCCTATCAAAATCTTCCCTGACTGAACCTTCCCAGGTCTTTCTGGACCTTCCTCTCAGCATTCTTCCTACCACTTTTACTTCATATATAGTTCTTCCCTCCTGCATTCTATTGACATGGCCAAACCAGCGTAGCCTGTTTTCCTCAAATCCTTTTCTGCTGGTTTTATTCCCAAATTGCTTCTTATCTTTGTATACCTGATTTAGTACCTCCTAGTTTTTCCCTCTATTCTCCTCAGAGCCTTTCCATTTCCATTGCTTGGATATTGCTTTTATGTTTTGAGGTTATAGTCCAGGATTCACTGCCGTAGGTCAGTATGGGGACAAATCTATTTTTATACACCGTTTTCTTGACATTTTTTGACACTTCTCTCTTTGCTAAGAAGACTGGTTTTAGTGAATGGAAGCATTTGCTGGCCAGCCTTATTCTTTCCTTGATTTCACCATCTATCCAGCCGTTCTCATGGATGGCTTACTTAAAGTCTTTGACGTGCTCGAGTTCCTCCCCATTCAATCGAAGTACTCGGACTCCCCTTCCCTCTCCTCTTCCTATCCTCATTATTTTTGATTTGCTGCTGTTTATTTCCATGTTAAACAGTTCTAATTCTTCATGCAGGATTCGGAGGTTGTATTGAAGGTTTCTTCCGTTGTTCCCAAATACCACAATATCATCGGCATATGATAGAAGGGTGAGATGAACTGGTCGTAGCTTTCTGTGGGCCAACCTAAAAGGTCTCATTCTTTTTTGTTTCAGTTAAGCCTCCTATTTGTAGTTCAGTGATTTAGAACGATACGTGTATTCTCTAGATGTTTTATTTCAAGGCGTTTTTTGTTATAGTTGGCCGTTTAATAACAAATGACGCTTGATTTTCAACATTGGACGCCATTTTGGGACAGTGCCACCACCTTTTTTTGTGGAAACATTGGCTTTTTTTAAATATATATTCACAAGGAGCAGTTTATTCACATGCAATTTATAGTGGTGAGGAGGAAGGGAGCAGGGGGGAGGGCTATTTAGCCCACGGCATATCCTCTCTCACCAAACCCTTTCACCCCTCCTTCAAAATATTAAAATGAATTAATATTTACTTCACTGACTCATATAAGAAAGGTTATATAAGATGAAAGACAATTGCATATGATCCAACATGAAAAATAATTTAAATGGAACATACAATGTTTTAAACTTTGTAAATCTGTATCTGGTAAACTACTTAATTTACTAAGTTTGTTTTGGTCTTAAATTGTAGCATATTCAATCTAGTTTAAAAAAGTATAATGTGGTTTTTGTCGAAAACGTGCTGCTTCATTGATAAAATGGGGGAAAACCGAAAAAAGTACGAAAAGCAGTCTTTGGTAGGAGCTACAGTTGTAGGCTTGTAGGTCATTGTGTATCGTAGAACTCTATTAAGGGTAACTAGAGCATTCCAGACAGTATCCTATAAAGCAGCTTGTTTAATGGCTACTATGCCTCCTCTTGAACTGTTAGTTGATAAGAGAAGCACATCATATAGTAGAAGTTCTAGAGTCGCAAGGGAAGAAGAACAGAAAATAACCATCAACCTTTGGCAACAACGTGGGGATAATGTTGATACTGGAAGATTGACCTATAGATTAGTGTCCGATATTGGCTCATGGTGTGGTCATCAACATGGTGAGGTGGACTTCTATGTAACCCACACCTCGACATGGAAAAAAAAGAATTAGAGAATGGGTGTGGAGTGAATGTCACTCCCGAAAATCTGGTAAAGCTTATGTTGCGAACATACAAACATTGGGAAGCTCTGAAAAAATTCCCCAGAGTTGTCCTGAAGAAATTTAGAGAAGAAGAAAGGATCAGGGGAGGCCTTTAGCCAGAAGATAAATGTCTCACGACAATAAAAAACGAGATGGCATATTGCCATTCCTTTCCATGAAGTAATGCCTAAAGGTGGTTCCATGGAGGGAAATGAACAGGTGAAGGGAGGTTGGTTTTAGTTGGTAAGAATCCCACACGCGAATAGATATGGGCCTATTCATGTCTTTTAAAGATTTCCACCTAACCACAAAAAAAAAAAAAATTTTGAGTCCAGATTTACCCGCACTGTGAGAACAGCAAATGCAGTGAGAGCAGTGGCTGATCAAATCAGAAGAAATTCCAATTCGAAAACAACAAATCATGTATCGGGAAATGGGAATCTCTGTCAGATCAATGTCTCGCATAGTAAAAACTGATCTCAGGATGGGTGCATTTCGAAGAATGAGAGGACAAAAGCTAACCATTTCCCTAAAAAAAAAATTAGAGTGGATAGATGCAAAGTGCTCCTTGGTCGTTACACCAATGGTCTTCATCGAAAGATTTTTTTTAACAATGAGAAAATTTTTACAATTGAAGAAAAATTGAATCGCCAAAATGATCGTGTGTACGCACACAGCTCTAACGAAGACTAGGAAGTCATTGGAAGAGTGGAAAGAGGTCATCACCCTTCCTCAGTGATGGTTTGGTGGAGAGTTTGCTTTGATGGTACCACAAAGCTCGATTTTTGTGAAAAAGGAGTTAAAACAGCCGCTAAAAACTATCAGGACGATATTTTGGAACGTGTTTTCAATCCTCTAAATGATACTCTGTTTGATGGAAGTCATTGGGTTTTCCAGCAGGATTCCACTCTAGAGTTCATCTATGCCTCCGATTGGCCCTCAGGAAGCCCTGATCTCAACCCACTAGATTATTGGCTTTGGTCCGAACTGGAGAGGATGGCATGCCACAGAGCACACCCTAACTTGAAAAGCCTCAAACAATGTCTGGTTCGAGCAGTTGAGCACTTTCCTCAAGAAGTGCTGCGTGCTGCTATTGATGACTGGCCATGGAGATTAAATGCCTGTATCAAGGCAAAAGTGGGACATTTTGCATAATTTGTGTTTTGTTTTACTCTCTATAGATATACATTTTATTTTCTAATTAAGTTTTTGAAAAATAAATTTTTCTGTTGAAATCTGAATATATTTCCTTGTAACAATATTTAAGACAGGACTAGGTATATGTACATAATATTGTCAGAATCCATATTGTATTAAGCTCATATTACGTATGGAAACATGTCCTAATTTTTCGGGCAAGCTAGGGCGCCCTCGTATTCCTTTGGTTTCTCTATAAAACTATTATCCATTACGATCTCTTATTTCTCCTTTAGTTAGTTATAAAATTCTTTCATATTTTATATTTAACTATTTTTTATATCGAAGATCAATGTGAAATGGTTAATTATTTCAAGTAAAAAAAATCAAAGATACTTTAGAGGAAGCTAATATTGAAAATTAGCTATTTAAGCCCTGTTAGAGAACATCAATGGGAATAAAACCTACATTATATTAAAAACTGCTTAATAATACACTTATATACTGAGTTTGATCAAAATCGTTAAAACCGTTTTCAAGAAGATTGTAAAAATATGTAACATCGATTATATAAAGTACCACTTCCGGTTAGCTGATTTTGACAAAAAAGTTGCTGTAACATCTCAGGTAAATACAAACCTTAAACATGCAAATTCACTTTCATAAAACTTTACATTTTAGAGCTAGACTGGTCATATACATACACACACAGACTATTTTGCAGGATTGGTTATTAGGACTCAGGAGATCTCAAAACATGTATTTCCATATAAAACTGAGATTTGAAAATTTTCTTGATAGCAATACTGTCCCTTACAATATATTTCATATATAGGTAAGTGAAAGTAAAACAAAAATGTTGAAATGATAAATATAAAGACAAATGATCAATAGTTAGGTATCAATGATTGATATGAAAGAATGGAACAAAATAAATTAAATTAAATTAATTTAGAGAACAATCTATTTTAAAATGATAAAACTATATCTAAATGGTAATATATATAATTGAGAACGGGACGGGCGAGCACGTTTAGGCATGGGTCACAGAGTGCTCAGTTCTGACCATTGTGGGTTCGATTCCTAACTGGGTTGGTTAATTTTCATTTTTCGGCGGCCCCAGGAAAGTGATCTTGACATTCCCACTCTGGTAGGTATGCAGTGGCAATCTCAAGATAGCTATCAGAGATTAGAAAAATTGCCGAACTAGTTCTCCTCACCAATACCAGAACCAGTAATATATATTATTAAATAAAAATAAGACTATAGTAGTTAAATCTATTTATATTTGTAAACAAGATGTACTTACATCAAAGGAATTAATGTTAGAATTTGGATAACTTTCATAATGTGTAACATCTGATGTAAAGTCTTTAATCATGGATTCTTCATTTTCTGATTCATGTTTATTTAAACATGTTTTTTTTGCATTAACTTTTATATTACAAGATGTGGAACCTGTAAATGATTCATTTAATGTTGTGTAGGGGCATTTTCTTTTGCCTAGTGATTCCATTGTAAGACTGATGCTTCTTAAGGAATCTTAAAAAAAAAAAAAAGAAAAAAAAAAGCAGTTAATAAAAAAAACAATACATATTATTTTAAGTAGTTAGAGAAATATTTCCAAATAAAAGAATATATAATATATTGTAAGATAGTAATCAAACTAGATGAGTAAAAAGTTAAAAAGAAGATTAAAACAAGGAAACTGTGGATTCATGACATATGGGGGTGGGATAGAATTCCAGAAAGACTAGTCAAACACAACAGTTGGGTGGGGAAGTGGTTAGTGGTCATAAGGACAGGATTGAATGGAAAATTTAAATTGTTAACTCTAAAAGGATATATGTGGTGTGCTGAATTACCTGATACATGCAAACTAGAAAATACTGACACATGGAGGAAGTTGGAGAATTTAAGATCTAATTTTGAAGGTATAGGAATATAGCAGCATCATCATGTCAAAAAATTGTTTTAGCCAATTCGCACAAATTTTGGGATCCAATGAGAATTTCATGCTCATTATTTGTTTAGGGAGGAATAGATCTACAAGAACTATAGCAATCGTCTACGATGATACAATCCCAGACTCAAATCTAAATGGACTAAATTTATATAGGAACTTAATAAGTTATACAACATGAATATTCCTAAGAATCTAAATTGGGAATATGCATACTTTAGAATTTCATAGTTTTTCACTCATCGGAGAAGTCATAGGGGCAGTAGTTTATGTAAGGCCAAGGTCTTCATCAGGTGTAATAGTTGTAATCTTATTTGCACCTAAATCCTTGTTACACTTGAAAAAAATGACTACTAATACTTGGGTAAAAGCCAAAGTATGTTGAACTGACACAATATCAAGTTTTAAAATGTTATCTTGAAATAAAGTGCCATCTTAGTTTATCAATAAGTTCTTACTTCATTTAATTTCATTTTTTATTCTGAAGCTAATTACAAATTAAGAAACCTGTACTCAAATGAATAAAATAATGAAGGATTTGAGACAAATTAATAAAAACATAAGAATGCTTAGTTTGTTTCCTTTTTTAAAATAATGAGTACTAAATCAGCATAAAACTAATTTGCACCTCAATACAAAAATAAAATAAAATACTTCAATAAATAACATTTACAAAAATGATTCATTCCAGCTCTTTACTGAAATCTTACTTAAATGAATATCAAATAACAAAATACAATGTTTACACTAAAAACTCCACAATATATCAATTAGGGTAAATGACTAGTTATGGACACTCTACTAGTTATGAACACCCTTAATTTATATTGCCAACAATAAGAACCAGGTAAAGTTGAACAAACAGAAGAGTTTTGTAGATTATTGTGCCCCATTGTTACCCCAACCATTTCTCTCTCTTCTTTAGATCTTGTCTACAGTTAAGGATAGTGACAAGTGTTTCAGAAGACAACATAATTGTTGGAAAAACACTAGTTTTTTTAGTAGATGTCTTTTGAAGAAATTGGTTTCTTAAGAGTATTGCTCCGGACAGATAAATTATTTTACGTCTTTGAAGGTATGTACACATTCTAGTTTTTTCAAGTATTCATATTTAATTATTTTTGTTCACATGCTTTTTATTTAATTTAAATTAATGTGTTCATTACAAGTTGAAGGGAAAGTTGTACAACTAGTTATGAACACCCCTGTTCATATGTAATTGTAATTTTTATTCTCAGGTAATAATTAGAAAATATTAAATTTTTATGCTTGAATATTTTGCTATAATCCAAAATTTAATCAGTAAATGATTAACAGTTATGGTCAGGGGTGTCCAAATTAGGAAGAAGTATGACTTAACTAGTTATGGACACATATCTAAGGCAATGAACGAAAAAGAAATAAATAATAATAACTTACAAAAGAAGATTTGATATATTGTTTGTAATGAATATAGTTAATTATTCAGTGAGTTAATTAATCATAGGGGTACTCACAGAATTTCCCATGAGTATGGACTGGACTATATATAAGCCACGGTTGGAAAGCTTTCTCAATGCAAATAATATCCAAAACGAAACACAAAGGTGCAGTTTATTTCTTAATTCGTTAGATGATGAAGCTTTTAAGCTTATAACAACATTAAGTGTTCCCAAGGAACCAAAAGGTTTAACCTTTTCGGAACTTTTAAAATTATTTGATGAATATTTTGTCCCGTCTGAATCACTTTTTGGAGCCCGTTACAGATTCTACAATGCAGCTATGGAAGAGAGTGAATCAATAAATGAATGGGTAGCTCACATTCAGAACCTGGCTTCCCATTGTGCTTTCAACAATTATCTTGATTTTATATTGTTAGATAAATTTGTTATAGGTATGAATAAAGGAACGATAAGGCATCGGCTGTTCGAAGAAACTCCTGTAAATACTTCACTCTGTAGGACTATAGAAATAGCAACTGCAAAAGGAACCTGTGCACTTTCTTAGTAGAGAAAAAGATAGACCAACAGTCTCTAGGGGACAAACTAATAAAAGATATGTACAAGTGTAGCATTTGTGGTAAAGTGGGTCATGACCCTGACAAATGCCGCTTTAAGGAATATACCTGCAATAATTATCAGAAAATAGGCCATCTAACTCATGTATATAAATTGGATAGAAGGCAACTGAACAACCGTGGGTTGAAAGAAAGATCACACTATATAGAGGAGGATGTATCATCTGATCTCGAATGCCTGTATAAAATTGACAGTTCTCCGAAGGAATCAGGATATCAGGTGAACCTAAAAATCAACCAGGTTTTTATAGTATTTCAGGTAGAAACTGGTTGTTCAAGTACTATTTTCTCTCTTAAACTTTTTAAGAAGAAACTGTCTGGCTTAAAATTGGGAGCTGCAAAGAAGACTTTTGTCTCATATTTTAAGGAAAGGTGGGCACCTCTTGGCAGTTTAAACGTGGATGTGGACTATAACGGCTGCATATACTCAAGTCTGGAATTGTATATGGTGGAATCGGATGGCCCGCCCCTTCTTGGATGAACATGGTTTGAGGAACTTGGATTTAAAATTATGAATAGCTATTAGGCAAAACCTTTATTTTTTAGTAATGAGGAATCAACTTTGTGGGATGAAGCCATACATTATTATCCAGACTTGTTTTCTGATCGGCTTGGAGCTTTTACAGGTGGTACGATAACATTAGAATTAAAATTGGGTGTTAAACTTAAGTTCATGAAAGCAAGACCTGTGCCTTTTGCTATAAGGGCTAAAGTAGATGCTGAATTGGAAAGATTAGAGCAGAAAGGTATTCTGAAACCTATTAACTATAGTTCATGGGGTTCACAAATTGTTTCAGTACTGAAGAAAGGAGAAACAGTGAGGATTATAAACTGACTCTAAACCCATGCCTTGAAATCGATCAGTATGCTCTGCCACAAGTAGAGGATTTATTCCATAAAGTTCAAGGGTGTAAGGTTTTTGCAAAAATAGATTTGTCACATGCTTATCAACAAGTGGTTGTAGATGAAGCGAGTAGGTCACTACTCACTATTACAACACAAAAAGGGCTGTTTACTTATTCATGCCTTCTCTTCGGAGTGGCACCTGCTCCAAGCAAATTAAAAAAAATTATAGATGCATTATTCAATGGACTTGATGGAACTGCTTTATTGCTGGATGATATATTGATTGGTGCAGAAAACTTAGATGAATTAAAAATCTGCATGTTTCGAGTGTTAGATAGGCTTAATGCTGCTGATCTTACCGTTTCGCCAAAAAAATGTGAGTTTGGGAAAAAATTATTGGAGTATTTGGGTGAATGAAGTGAAAGATTGATGCATCTGACCTGCATTCCACGGATGAAAAGGTTGATGCCGTTCTGTGGGCTGTAAGACTCCAAGACGGCAAGGAATTAGAAAGCTTTATTGGCTTTGTGATGTTCCTGGCAAAATTAATACCGAGATTATCATTAATACTAAGTCTTTTGTACAGTTTGCTGAAGAAAAGAATTCCTTGGAACTGGACTTCTACATGCGATGAGGTGTTTGATAGGATAAAAACAGTGATTCAAGAAAATCGTTCACTAGCTCATTATGATCCTTCAATTCCCATTAGACTTGCTGTGGATGGTTCAGACGCTGGTCTGGGAGCAGTTTTTTTCAATGATCTGAAGGGGTGGACAAACCAGCTTTTGCGAGTAGATCCCTGTCCACTGCAGAAACGACTTACTCTCAATCATATAAAGAAGCAGCAGCTCCACATCTATTTATATGGAAGACAATTTATTTTGGTAAATGATAATAAACCTCTACTAGCAATATTTGGACGCAAACAAGGAATACCAATGTGTGCAGCAAACAGATTACAAAGGTGGGCATTGATAATGGCCAACTATACTTACAAGACTGAGTGGGTAAGATCCCAGGGAAATGTTGCTGATTGGTTGTCACGGGCCCCTGTACCTGATTGTCCGAGGAGATCCCGAGAAGCTGATTTATATATAAATTATATATTTGATAGCAATGAAGATTTGCCTTTAGACTTTAAAAAGATATAGACAGCAACTAGGAAAGATCCGATTTTGATGAAAGTTATATTGTACACAAAAGTGGACTGGCCAACAGAAGTGGACCTGGAGCTCCAACCTTTTTCATCACGTAGGGAAGAATTATTTGTGGAGAAAGATATTCAGTTATGGGGTTACAGAGTGGTAGTTCCTGAACTTTTAAGGCAACAAGTTTTGTAAGAGTTACATGCTTCAAATTTGGGAATCATGAAATTAAAATCATTAGCCCGTTCATACGTATGGTAGACAAAAATGGACAACGCTATTGAAAAAATAGTACCAGTATGCCGAGCCTGTAATATTACAAAAGATAATCCAGTGAAGATGCCATTAGCGCCAGGGAAATATTTTTTAATTGTAATCGATAGCCATTCAAAATGGCTAGGGGCTTTTCTAACTTTTTCAATGTCAACCTCTACCACAGTTAAAATTTTGCGTCAACAATTTGCAAAATTTGGTTTGCCGGAAGAATTGGTTTGTGACAACTTCCTAGCATCTGATTCTGAAATATTTAAATTTTTTTTACTCACAATGGAGTGACATTGAAGCATGGACCACCCTATTCAACCAAAACCAATGGAGCAGCTGAAAATGTGGTGCGGACCATTTAGAAAGCATTGAAGATTGCGCTATGCTCCAAAAAGTGTTCTGATTTGAGCATTTTACTAAACTGTTTTCTGCTTGATTATCGCAAATGCCCACATATTACTACGGGAATATCTCCAGCTAAAGCTTTGTTTAGAAGATCATTACGAACACGGCTTGATCTATTGAAACCTCCTTCAACCAAGATTAAAGTGAAACAGCAACAAGAGAACAAATAAAAACATATGGTGGAAGGTTCAACACGAAGAACTGGTCTAAAGAGGGAGATTGAGTATGGGTAATTAATCACAACCGGAAGGAAGACAAGTGGGTACAAGCTACAGTGGAAAAACATCTTTCCAGCTAAAATTAAAGTGTTTGTACCATCTAAGAATACAACTTAGATTCATCATATGGACCAAGTAAGGTTGGCACTAATGGAAGAAACATCGATCAAATCGTTTAGTGACGAGGAGCCTCCAGGGAATGTAGCGGAGCCACTGAAAAATAAATCAGACAGCGATCCTCAAATATCCACCGATTTGCCTATGCTGTTGGAGAAGAGGTCTATTGCAACGGCTGCTGCCTGTGAATTAACTCAAATTTGCCTACGAAGAACTAAAAAACCTGTAAAAAGACTTATAGAGGAAATTTAAGATTTTGATTAGTTAAATTGTTGTTTTATTGAGGGTGTTAACAATGTAGTATATTAACCTTTTGTTAAAGAGTTAAATAATAAAGCGATTTAGTATTCAATCTTTTTGGTAATGAGTCATATGTTTTTTTAGTGATTAGGAACACGAATGTAATCAGGAACAATAAATGGAAATTGTCTGTGTTTGATTTACCATGAATTCATTGATACATTACAGTAAAGAAAGCATGTTATTATTTATTTGATAAGTTTACAAAATTAGACAAACAAAATAAAAGGTTTTTAAGAAAAATTTAGTAGAAGTAGTTTCAAAATTTTTCATAAAACTTAGTGGTTTTTTAATAGATATAATGGTAAGTAAATGGGTGTCCATAACTCATCAAGCAGAACAACCTTAAATTAAAAAATTATAATGAAATCATTTTGTGGTTGCATAAGGACAGATAATTATTATTCTTTACACAGGGGTTAACAAAAACATATCAAAAATTGGCTTAAGAGTGTCCATAACTGGTCACTTACCCTATTGAAAAAAAAAAAAATATTTACCAAGTCTAATGTAAACAAACTAACCTTCATCAAGAAATAACGCCTCACTAAGTATTATAAGGAACTTTATCTTAGTTCATTTACGTGTACACGATTATGAATGGCTAACTTCACTACTAATTTGTAAATAATAAAATAACAAATAACCTTTCATAGCTAAAATACTAAACTATCCTAGGATTCATCACAGCTACTACAATAAAAGGAGATCCATATCAAAACCCAAGTGCATTCCCTATTCCTATAATTGACTACGAAATTACCAGCTACCTGACTTGAAACCTTCATCAACTAAAGTTAATATTGAAAACCAAAGAGAATAAACTGAAACCAATAACTGTTAATTATTAATCCAGTTAATTATGGTCCAGAGAAAGTTGGAGTGGCAGACGGGTCATCAACCAGTACCAGTTGGCCTCTTGCAATGAATTCTCCAATGAAGTCTAACACCCCTCCGATCTATTCGACTGGAACCCCAAGCCGTGCTCCAGGAGTTGGTTTCCGAACAGATGATCACATTCCTATATCTTCCAGTTATCGCTCCCATGGCGGATATACCCTCTCTTATATCACTTCCGTATGGTAAGTATACCGAAGCAAGGGTGAAGGCGATGCTGCCCCATCTGATGTAGCATACTACGCTGTCAGCCTTAGTATACTGCTCAAGAATCATCACATCGAGATTTGGGTTGGCGATTATTATTGCAGCTCTAGGCCTCCTTTCTCCATTCCCTAGAGCAATAACTCTCGATGTGAGGCCAAATCCTACAACCTTACTCTCACGACAGTTCGGTTCTTGAAACGCCATGATATCGCAGTGTTGAGCGAGAGCTCTTCTCATCTGCTACAATATGCCGTCGGCCCATATTGAACTGAATAATGGAGATCCTGTTTCGGTCTCCTGCCTTATGTTTGGTCAAGTTTGATGGAACTCTTTCACGAGAAAAATTTACACAAGTCGGGTCTGCTCTTTCCTTCTTCCTTGGGCACACCTTTGCTATGTGGCCACTAGCTGCGCACCATATTTTTTTTTTAGGCTATAAGGGATTTTCCCGGGGGTGAGGGTGGGGAATTTAAAATCACCTCCGTCACCGGGACGCGAACTCGTACTTTTTAATCTCTCACATCTGTTATCCGGTTCCCAGGCAACTCGCGGTGCTGTGCACACGCGTTAGCCCATTCGGCCACCCCGCCCCCAAAGCCGCGCACCATCTACAAATCTTGTCCCCGAGAGTAAATGACGCTGTAGTGTGGCCAACCCCAAGCATTTTGCACAGGAGGATGCATCCACGAAATCTCTGAAGGTCCATCGCCCACCATCGCCATCGATGGTTCCCACTTCCAATAGGTGGAATTGGATGACTGGGTGGACCTCAACAACCCAGTTCCTTGTTAAGCCACCTCTGGCCTCCAGTGAAAAACGTGCTTGGATGCGCTCTTTGATGTTCAGTTGGGGAGCCGACTTCTCAGCTGTCATTCCCCAGATACACCTTTCAAGTTCAGCACCTGTCCATGAACGGGGAACCCCTTTCACTTCTAGTCTGGGCCTTATAATAGCGATTAAAATGAGAAAATAAATTAAATAAAAAATAAACAAATAATAAAGAAAAGAAAATAAATAAGGTAACAGTATAGTCTAACTAACTAGCAGATCTAAGGGTCGCATTGTGATTGGACATTATTGGAATAAATATATATCTATATAACGATTACTAGGTACATTTAATTATTAATGGTGTCCACATTTCTTTCGCAATCTTTAATCTGACATTATTTCCATAAAAAGCGTCCTTGACAACTTAATAGTGGACTCGTATATCTAAGAAATACAAAAAGCTACAAAAGTTCTATGAAGAATTTCAAATCCGACAGATAATCGATAACTTCCTGCATATGATAATATGACCTGTATTTTAAGATTACCTTACGGCGTTTCAACTTATTTAATTTTTTCAAATTTATTCGTTGTATGGGCCAACTTGTAAGTTATCGGAGACGTAGTTTTTAAAAATTACATCCATTTTAAGATTACATCTCTGCGTTTTGACTTTTTCTAGTTTTTCGGATTTATTCGATATAAGGGTGTATTCTTATGTTTCCGGAGTCGTAGATTTTGAAAATGGTCTTCGTTTTGAGATTACTACACTACGTTTCGAATTATTTAAGTTTTTCGAATTTATTCGATATAAGGCTGAATTCTTATGTTTGCGGAGCCGTAGATTTTGAAAATGGCCTCTATTTTAAGATTACACCACTGCGTTTCGATTAACTTAATTTGTTCGTATTTATTACTTATACTTATACTAGACTTAAAAGACGGAAACTTAACCGACGATACGGCCAACTACACATACTACTAAACAGAAAATCTAAACTTTCTATTGAAAACAAGTTACTGATCTACAAGACAATACTGAAACCTAAGAATCTAGTTACATAATTTATTTAGATGCGAACAATCTTTATGGTCAATCAATGAACATGTATTTACCGTATGCAGGATTCGAGTGGGTTAAAAATCCTGAACTGCTCTCTATCTGATTATTGCCTCACACGTTGGGTAGTGCTAATATCATTTTTTTTTTTTTTTTTTTTTTTTTTTTTTGTCCTCCCCTTCCTGGCCTTTAAGGCTATACGGGGGTTTCCCGGGCCAGGGAGTGTGGGCGGGGATTTAAAAACTCCTCCGGGCACCGGGACGCGAACTCGTGACTATTCTTTTTTTTTTATCAAAGTCTTATTTATCAGGTTGCCGGGCAACGGCGGTGCAGTGCACACGCGTTAGCCCATTCGGCCACCCCGCCCACTAGTGCTAATATCTACTAGTCTTTCAGAAAAGCTCGTTTTCCTTTCAGATTCTTTCAAAAATCTTTTGCAAATGCACCAAACAGAAGGAGACTTATTTCCCTTTCTCGATAGACCTCTCTATAACCTGCTTCAAAGTGAAGATAGTCCCAATGTGCAACTTCAGTAGCAATCGAAAATAAAGTGGTTTTCATAATAATAAACCTGGTTTACTTCGTCCAGACCTGCTGACTTGTTAATTACTTCGAACAAATCTTTTTTCTTTTTTTTTAAATAGTCGTTACCACCACCAACCTGCACCGTCTCCTTAGTATCATCCAAACTGCTCTAGCATTTGACCCCCTTTTAGCAGCATCTTGAAATATTCTGTTCATCTGTCTACTATATATTCGTTTAACCATATAATGGATATTGATCCTTGTTGTCCTAAGAATCAGTAAATATACAAAACAAAGTGTTAAATTGCAAACGTTAAATAAAAACATCAAGATATTCAGCAAAGTATTTTTGAATTAATTTGTATTATTATAATTATACCATTTTTACAATAGAGGACTTCTTAAACGATATCCGTATAGAATAAAGGAAGTTAAATAAAAAAAAAAATTATATATAAATTTAAAAAAAAAAAAATTAATTTTTTGGACAATTGAATTATTGTATTAATATTTTTTCGTTAATACAATCAATATAATGTACCAAAAGCGTTATTATAGCACTATAACTAAGCCATTTATGAGTACTGAATGGTGTGGTAGAGGCTTATAGACACCTACGCCATTGCCGCTTTTCCGCCGCTTACGTGCATTTTCTAGGTAATTGCTTCAAATATTATTAAAAGTAATCAGCGTTTTAGAAAGAGAAATATATTCCCTAGATGTTTTATTTAAGCACATTTTGCGTTATTGTTGGCCGTTTAATTACAAACGAAGCTTGATTAGGTCTTAGTAGTAAGCCAAGGTAGTAGTAGACCTGGGCAGAATTTATTTCAAAAATATTCCCGGAATAAATCGTTAAATAAACCTCGATAGTTATTTCCGAAATAATTTATTTCATGAAATAACCTGAACATTATTTTCGAGGGGGTGGTGTGATCTCGTCCTCGTCGTGCCCCTGGATAACCAACCAAACGATCACATAGTCGCCAGACTCCCAGTGTCACCAATAGCGACTTATGGCGCGGCCAGCACAAAGCCTGGCCAACGCAAACGGCCTTTCTCAAGGCCATAACAACTTTATCTTAAAGACTCTTTTTTGGAATGCGGGTGGTCTCACCAGCGAAAAGTACGCAGAATTGAAGCATTTTATATCCTCAAATAAAATTGATCTATTTTGCATTGTTGAGGCAGGCGCTGCTACTGATTGTCTTGAATACTTCAGGTATCCAGATTTCCAAATTTACTCACTGCCAAGAGCTAGGCAGATAGCATCAGGAATACTTGTTGGTGTAAAGTCTTCCTTCACGGTCAAGTTTCAAGTTAAAAAGGAAATGGATGCAAATGATAGATTGGAAGGAGTGGAAATCAATCTGTGGTCAAACAATTTCCACCACCAAATATTTGACATCTATAACCCCCCTAATAATAAACCGAATTTGGGTTGGCTGGAGGATTCTTTGACGGACAAATCCCTTGTGTATGGAGACTTCAACGCGCACTCCAGGCGCTGGGGTTACACAAACTCAAATTCAGTGGAGAAAACTCTGGAAGAATTTATCGATACAAATATGATTGAATTTGTGGAAAACGAAAATTCAAAGCCCACTTTTATGGACTACAAAGGTAATAGTTCCCACCCTGACCTATTATTGGTGCACCCACGAATAGCTCCGCTGATCTCCCACACAGTTGCCTCCCCACCTGGAGCATTTGGTCACAGGATAATGCTTGCCTATCTTAATGGCAACTTAAAGTCTTTTAATGATTCAGTGCCTCGGTGGAATTTGAAAAAAGCCAATTGGAATAAATTCTCTAAGCTCACTCACACAGCCATTACGGATAAAACCATTACGGAAAATGTAGATATAAGCTGCGCCCGACTTCAAGCGACAATTCTCGAGTGTGCAAAGCAGTCCATTCCTCGGGGATTTATGAAGAGATACTCCCCATTCTGGAGTGACAAACTACAGAAACTAAAAGATAGTAGAGATGCAGCAAGAAAAGATGTAGAAATGTCAAAGAAACCGGAAGATATAGTAAGGCTAAAACAACTTACAGCAACCCTTAAGTACAATATAATTCAAGCCAAAAGAAAAGCTTTCAGAGAATATTTGGCCAACCTGGATTTTTGAAGAGATGGAGTAAAAGCACATAGATTCATCTCAAAACTAAATGGCGGCAAAGACCCAAGGAACAACCCTCTGAAGTTCAATAACAAAGAGATATATACCGGACTTGCCATAGCAAGAAACTTTTGTAAATTCTTTGCAAAGGCCTCTAATTATAAGCCAGCAGTAGGAAATAAGAAAATTAAT